CGTACAATTCCAAGGAGGGAATCCCCTTCTTTCTTTATGGCCAAAATCTCCCACACTGATGTGTTTGATTGCTGAAAGCGTTGACTTCCATAGCAAAAAGCCTGGAAAACAAAGCAGTTAAGACTGAAACCGACTACGTCGGTCAGTAAACACTGAATTAAAATGATCTACCCAGGTCTACAACAATCCATTTCAAATAAACCTGTCTGTTTATTTTTTGGGAATTCCCACATGATAGGGGGAAATTCCCATTCTTTTAGGATTCAGGGAAGATTAAAGGTTGTTTCTATCCATTCTGTGTTTGCCTGGATGAGTGTCAGACTGAAGTTCTCCTTATTTGTTTAAGTACACGACAGCTACATCTGCACATCCTGATGCTTTGAAACCAGTTTCTGACAGGAACCGATCCACCGCTCTAACCTTTCTTATTAATACTTTGTTTCTTAGAAAAGTTCCCAGACACTCAGGTGGGGACTTGTGACCTTTTTTTTCCATTATGAGATGGGTGGGTAGAGTGTGGAAGTTCAGTCTCTTTTAGACCCTGTTGCAATGCGTAGGTGTGAGCTGGCGGGGGGAGAATCCCCAACAGACAATTGTGGCCTTTTTAAGGTTTGTATGTATTTTTGCTTCTCTTATCTTCCTTTAAAAAAGACTCTAAAGTTGCCTTTTAAAAGCCAAATTTGGAAACAATCATTCTGAGGGGTAGAGAAGGTGAGACTAAGGTGGCACATAAATTAAAGGATTGTGTTGGAAACGCTCTCCAACAAACAAGTCATTTTTATGTTAACCGAAGAAATATTTAGAAATGTTGGAGATCCTGTACGTGTAGCAGATGCTCTTTTTATGTTGACTCAAAAGGAATCTAACAAGTGTGTGAGATGATTGGAAGACAACAGTGACTTGAATAGCCATTGGTTATCGCCAAATGAGCCACAACATGGTGAACCTTGAAGCAGATGGACCCTAGTAGTAAGAAGACTACACATGGTGTCTCTCCTGTCAGCTAAGATCATGAGTCTGACTCAGAGTCTACGATTCACACAGGATCACTAGAACTGAACCAGAAGCCTGGAAAATATTTCCTGGTATATTGTGTCTGGATTTTTGCTGGAACATTCAGATGGATCCATCCTGCCTTGTATCAATTCTTCAGGCAGCTGCAGGTGGTGTAATGATGTGGGGGACATGTTCTTGGCACAGTTTGACATGTTCTTTGTCCCACCTGAGCCTGGTTTAAACCCCACAGCCTACCTAAACATGGTTGCTGATCATGTCTATCCTTTAATGACCACAGTGGACCCATCTACCAATGGCTACTTACAGCAGGATAATGTCACAAGGCTCAGATCATCTCTAACTGGTTTCTAGAACATGACCATGAGTTCACTGGACCGAGACTCCAAGAGCCTTAAAAGTCACCAGGTTTCAATTCAGTCTGGAACCTTTAGAATGTGGTAGAATGGGAGATTCACCTGGTGGATGTAACTGTGTAATGCTGTCATGTCTATATGGATCAGGAACAAAGATGTTTTCCAACATGATCAAAGCAGTTCTGAAGTCCAAACAGGTCCAACCTGGGACTAGCAATGTGTACCTAATAAAGTGTAAATGTTTTGATTTTGTAAAAGTTCCTTTCATAAGGGACCTTCTCCAGGTCAGGGATGAGGTCTTGCCTCTAGTGGAGGATTTTAAGTATCTCTGGGTCTTGTTCACAAGTGAGGGAAAGATGGAGCGCGAGACCGATAGGCGGATTGGTGCTTCATCTGCAGTGATGCGGGCATTCTACCGATCTACTGTGGTGAAGAGAGAGCTGAGCAAGAAGGTGAAGCTCTCAATTTACTGGTCGATTTATGTTCTTACCCTCACCTCACCTACGGTCACGAGCTTTGGATAGTGACCAAAAGAACGAAATAGCAGATACAAACGGCCAAAAAGAGTTTTCTTCGCAGGGTGGCTAGGCTGTCATTTAGAGATAGGGTGAGAAGCTGGGTCATCCGGGAGGGGCTCGGAGAAGATCGGCTGCTCCTCCACATCGAGAGGAGCCGGTTGAGGTGGCTGGGGCATTTGGTTAGGATGCCTCCTTAATGAGGTTTTCTGGGCACATCCAGCCGGGAGGAGACCCAAAGGGAGACCCAGGACACGCTGAAGGGACAATGCTTCTCGGTTGGCCAGGGAACATCTTGAGATTCTTCTGGAGGAGCTGGCCCAAGTGGCTGGGGTTGCTGTCCTCGTGACCTGACCCCAGATAAGGGAATGAAAATGGATGGATAGTTTCATACTTAAAATTTATTCAAGAGCAATGACTCTGCCGTGCAGTAGGAGTCAGGGTTCCAGTTCTGCAATAAAATTGATTGTTCGTCAGCTATGTAAACACCCCTCAAGTAGAACCCGAAGTCTAAGTTTGACCTGTTTCTGTCTGGAGCCTTAGATTTGAACCCAGATAGCAAGTATGCTGTCGATCAGACTCAACCCACATACTTTGTGAAATAAGAGCACCAAGACAGACCACTTCTGCTTTTTATGTCCAGGCTCCTGGTATGCTTTAGTAAAGCTTCCTGTCATTCAACCATAACTGTCTCCATCTGCATTAGACCCTGGGAAGGCGTGTTCTGTTAAACACAGAATAACTGGACAGTGATTAAACAAAAATTAAGATGCAAACAACAATTTTAATCATCATCTAATCTATTGGCCTTATGGAATATTAAGAACAGCCAAATCAACAGTGTTGCTATTCTGAAAATACTGAAAGTGTGGGGTTCAAGTCTGAATGTTCTTGGAAGGCAACAGCAGCTTTGCAAGAGCAAACTTTCACAAAACCCCATCATAGCATCTAGCCATGGGGTGAACGCTCTCAATCATGTCAATATGCATGTTACAGCTTTGCTGTTTGTCCCAGAAAACGGACTCTGCAGAGGACAATCAGTGCTTTGCCTCCTCCTCCTACCTGCACAGCTGCACTCACTTGGACTGATCACCTCCTGAGCAACATAAAAGTGAGAGACTGGATCTGTACCAGTTCTCTCATGTGCTCCATTTGTTTGTGTTTTAGTGGCTTTTAAATGGGTTTTAGTTATTTAAGCTTAGTGAAGCTTAAGAGCTTTTAGAGGTTTGTAACAGACGAGGGACCAGAGTGCTGGTTTCCTCTTGGCTCCCAAACATGTGTATAGTCAGTGGACTTTGATTGTGAATGTTTGGGAGCATTCGGATGTTTGTTTTAAACATAAGCCCATGGCCATTTTAACAATGTGTTTTAAGTACATTTAGATTTGGAGCTTTTTGTCATTTTAAAATCCTTTTAATAAAATCAATGTTTACAATTTCCATACCTGAAACACATGCCTCTGTGTTACTCCCTGTCTTTCTCTGTATCCACCAACAGAGGATGCAACAAAGGGGGCTTGTCCGGGATCTGTCAACCATCCCATGAAGGACTTTTAATGGCATGTGCTTTTTGCAAACAGGTTTTATTCATAGGATTTTAAGATGTGTGGTCAGTTGAGTCCTCTCAGGTATTGTATGTCCTTTTTGTTTTATTCTGTTGTGCTTGTGAAGTTTTAAAGTGAACAGAGTGAATTCCCTATAGGCTGTAGGAGCGCACCCTCTTTAGGATGCGTTCTGGTTTTTGTTTTCTAGTGTTGGGGTTATGGAGGTTAGCGTTGGTAGAAATTCTACCATCTCTGGAGCACCCCAGGGATTTGGAGAGATGGGCTCTCCTGTCCGCTGGTCCATTTGTGCTTAATTGGCCCACCTCTACGCCCCATGAAGACTAGGGTGGAGATCAGCAAGGACTTCTCCTGTTTAGCTAGAGGGAATTCTTGTTGGACGAAAGACCTGGGAGTGTTTGTGATAAAAGCAGTGGAGGGCAAAGGTGAAAGAAAAAAAATTGTAGTTGAACTTGTTTAATTTAATTAAAATAAATAAATAAATAAATATAAAAAATGTTGAACGCAGAGTTGGCCACAAAGGTTAAAACCACTGTAAACCTTTACAGAATAATAGCATCCATGGGACGAGTTTTATGTAAAGGAAGGCTTTGAAATAAGGATTTGAAGTCTGCAACTTAATCTGTAAGCCACATGCTCACGGTGGGATGCTATAAATATGAATGTCGACCAATGGCACCGGGTATTTACAAGTTAGTGGCACACAATGTGAGCATGAACATGGCACCTGCTCAGACACACAGTTGTATCAAGGACGATTGCATCACAATTGGTCAGTGACCCCAAACTTCTAATAAAACCACCTAATCTTTAGCTACAAACCACAGCACTTTAGTTTTTGATGATAAATTAAATTCATGGTAGTTCAAACAGCGACAACAGCAAAATGAAAGTCACTCAAATGTATCTAAAAAATTTTGTTGCTCAACAGATTGGTCTTAATACAAATACATTTCCTTTGCATCCAATGAAATTTTGGTTTATGCTACTAAAACTTGTACATGCAATTTTTAAGAAAATATTTTTAAGATGCACTTGATACATTACTTTCTATGTTTAAATAGGGTTTGTTGATCTACAAGTAAAGCTGAACATCTTCAAGCTGTTCAATTTGGAAATTATAAATGTCAATCAGCGTCAGCCTGACGAAGTTTGCAGCCGCAAACGAAACGTTGCAGGCAAATAAAACCTTTCTGTGTTTTAAAAAGAACTAAAAGATGGAATCAGAATTTCAACACAGCAAGAACACACCAAAGATGTTTAAAGAAATTATAAATGTAATTTTGCACATTTAACAAATGGTGTCCCACAGGGGTCGGTATTGGGCCCTTTTCTCCCCATATGTGTCAGACAAACATGGCTATGGCAAAAATAATAATCACGATTACTGTGACTGAAATTGAGATCTCGATTATTTAAGACGATTTTTCAATTTATGTTGATTTTATTTGTTTTTATTCAGTCATAAAATTGCTCAGGGCACAATCAGGACAACAATAAATAAGAAACAAGATGATCACTAAAATAACTCCTGATTCCCAGTATAAAAAGACCAACATACATAGGCGTCATTTTAACCGGGGACGCCGGGGACATGTCCCCGGCAAAAATTGTGATTGGCAGCTGTGTCCCCCCCACTTTAAAAAAGCCTGCTGATGAGGATTTTTGTTTTACCAGCTCAGATCTTATACCAGGGGTCGGCAACCTGTTCCCATCAAAGAGCCATTATTACCCGTTTCCCACAGTAAAGAAAACACCGCAGCAGCCGCGGCGTTGTGGGCGGGGCCTACCCTCAGACAGCAGAGAGCTGCTCACAACCAGGTGACAGCAACAGGTACCGGTCGCTCGCATGGGCGTCGCACCCGTGGGGGATTCAACACCCACACCTTTCCAGCTGTTTTGCTCACCTCCACGCCAGTCTGGTTTCTTTATGTCGCACTCACTCTGTTTGCCTCATCTCCTTCTTCACCTCCGCTTCTGACAGCCAATGTCGGGTTTCCAGGAGAGCAGGAGAGGGAGGGACGGAAGAGCTCGACTGAATTCATAATTTTACATCTTGACATTAGCTGTACAAAGTCTGAGTTTGATAAAGTGAAGAACAACAATTAGCAGAGGTTTATAACAGGCGCGGCGCCAGGTTTTCATTTTTGGGTGGGCCACGGTAATTCTGGACGGACCTTAATAAGCAGTGACTTAAGTGAAGCAGGCAGGACGCGCTAGAAAATTTCGTTTAAAAAGACGTCATAAATGTGTTCCCCCGTCATTTTTATTTCTAAAATATGAAGTAAAAACTCCCAATTTAATTTTCATTCATGTAGCTGCCGTCAAAGGCAACTCTAGCATTTAAGTTCATTTTATTGGATTTAATGTTGAAACAATTAGTAGTTCAAAGATTGAGAAATAATATTTCAATAGTAATTCATATTCTGTTCATTAGATTTATATGTTTAAATGTGTATTTGTGTTAACTGTGCAATTAGATGGGAACCTTTTCTATAGTTCCATCCATTGTTGCTAAGGGGGCATTTTTCTTGGCACACTCAGCAAGCAATTAAGAGACGAGCCACGAGGTTGTACGTCTGCAGTAAGTTAAATAAAGAGTGCCTTTTTTGGACTACCTCACGGTGTACGGATTAAAGTTTATTCCCTTTGAGTGAGGCCAATGAGGTAAATGTTTTCTTTTGTTTATTATCGTTGTATATGTAAATTATGTAGATTTGCGTGATATTCTAGTGCAGTTACCGCAGTGTTAAGTGTAACGTGTATTTTATTGATCTATTTGTTGACATGTTCGTCATATAATGCTTAAGGACTTTATTAAGAATATTCATTTAAGTTTGTATTTCTTTTTAGTTCTGACGGCATTGTATCGGCTGTGGTTGGACATCATTACATGTTAAGACATGTCGAAGAATCCTCCTGTCCGAAATAAATGTCAGTAAAAACCAAAGAACAAGTTGAGCTTTATTAAGACTCGAGGGGAGTAACAGTCAGAACTCAGCCTGCTTCGTGCTGGAGGAGAGAGAAGGAGAAAGAAGTCTGCCGCAGCAGAGCCGAGCCGACAGCTGAGCGAGCGGAGCCGAGTGGGAGCGAAGCTGAGCCGACAGCGCGCTGGGTCACGTGGTTAAGATCGCGTCTCGCTCTCAAGCATCAAAGACACCCAAACACACACACACACACACAGACATCCCATAAAGCAACCAGAGTCCAGTGGTGCAGCTTGTTAAGCTAGAAATAAGTAACACGTTTATACAAGTTAAATGTGGAGAGAAGATTTCTTTAGCTCATCTTAAAGGGACTCTGTCAAGCAGTGAAAGGGGAAGTGTGGTGGTTGAGAGTAAAAGTTTAACTTCATGTTATTAGTCGTTTATGTTAAGTAACTGCAATTAAGGCACGTTTAAGTTGATTATAAGGGTTTTGCTTATTTTTAAGACTGCATTAGATATTTAAAGGTCACATTATAGTATTTTGTTTGACTTTGAAAGTTATTTTCTGTTTAACTACAAGTGAAGAACAATTTATTATTTGGTTTAAGTGATGGTGACATATATTTAAGCAGACTCTTTAAAGTAAAGCAATTTAAAGTTCTTAGGTGCTTCATAAGGTGACCATTCACGTGTTTAAGTGGACCTAGGTGACTTGTGAATTCAGTATTATACCTTTGACTGCCTGTGACATGGAGCAAGAAGGCTGTAACACTGAAGCTGTGGAGCAGCAAGAAGCTTTTGAAGAGCAAGAAAGTTTGCAAGAACCATGCACAAGTAAAGCTACTAAAGAAGGAAGTTTGAGGAAAAGTCAAAGAGTTAAGAGGTTCACTGAAAAGGGCCAAGCACTACATGATGAAAAGGTGAACAAGCTTCAAGCTTGCTTTAAAGTCCGTTATGAAAGGTGGAAAGTTGTTGCAAAACAAGGCAAAAAGGCACTTGAGGAACCTGTTAGTGCAAAACTTAAAGAGCTTATTGACCGAGTCGAATATGCCTCAGCAGAAGTGAAACAAGTTTATGATGAGCTGCGCAGTCATGAAACTCCTGATGCAGACACTCGCCGCAGAGTGGATACCTGTGACGCGGTTTCGCAGAAGATCATAAGGCTAACTCAAGAAAAATTAGCAGCAGAAGAAGACGAAGAACTTTCTGAGATATTAGTTCACTGGAGCGATAAAGGATCATCATTTAATTCTGCGACCTCTCAAAGATCCAAGAGTTCAAATAGCAGGCAATCAAGAAGCTCAAGTAAGTTGTCTGTAAAGAGGCAAGAAGCAGCTGCAGAGCTTGCGGCTACTGAAGCAACTCTGAAGATTATGGAGGAAATGGAAAGTGAAAGAAAGGCACTTGAAATCCTTGAAGCAGAGAATGCTGAGAAACAGAAGGCCTTAGAGCAAAAGCGAAGAGAGCTTGAAAGGCTAGAAACAGTAAAGAAAATGAATGCTGCTAAAGCACGTCTGAAAGTGTACAATGAGGAAGGAAACTCAGATGAAGAAATATCAGACATTCTGCACGAAAGGAGTAAACGGAGAAATGTTACATCCGAACCGAATAATCAGTTTGCACATTTGCAACTTAATGCAAATGCAGAGCCGTTTGATATGCCACAAGCCAACTCAAGGGCACAAACAAGAGAAAGCAAACATGAAGATAGTACCATAACATTGGCCCAAGCTCTAGCTGAGTCCATTCACATAAGTCGCCTGCCAGTACCAGAACCTACAGTCTTCAACGGAGATCCTCTCAAGTACAATGATTGGAAATTGTCGTTTCAAATGCTGATAGACAGAAAGAACATCCCAGTGAATGAAAAGATTTACTATCTTCGCAAGTATGTTGGAGGACCGGCGCGAAAGGCTGTTGAGAGTTATTTTCTGTTGGGAACAGAGCGTGCTTATTACTCAGCATGGAATATTTTGGAGGAAAGATACGGAAGTTCATTTGTAATCACCAAAGCTTTCAGAGATAAGTTGACATCATGGCCAAGGATTGGTAACAAGGATAGCATTGAACTTCGAGAATTTTCAGATTTCCTCAGAGGATGTGAAGCGGCCATGCTTCAGGTTAAAGGTCTTGAAGTTTTGAACGACTGCCATGAGAATCAGAGAATGCTAAGCAAGCTACCTGATTGGTTGTCAGCAAGATGGAATCGAAAGGTCATTGAAATTGAAGAGCAAGATGGTTCTTTTCCAACATTTAACCACTTTGTTGACTTCATTGCGAGAGAGGCCAAGATTGCGTGCAATCCAGTAACATCGCTTCATGCACTCAAAGCAGGTGACTCAGAGAAAATGAAATCATCCAAGACAAGAAGTGTTGGAGTAAAGGTGCTAGTGAGTGCTGCAGAAGAGACGTCCAACACAAAAAAATGTGTGTTTTGTGAAAACTCAAATCATAGCATTCACACATGTAGGAAGTTTATGGACAAGGTCTTGAGTGAAAGAGTCAAGTTTGTGCAAACCAGGGGACTGTGCTTTGGATGTCTAGGCTTTGGACACCAATCCAAGAAATGTGAAAAGAGAAAGATGTGTGACACATGTAAAGGGAAACACCCGACATGTTTGCATGAAGAACGAGACAAATCCTCAAGGAAAAGGAAAGAGGAAGAAAGTGACAAGGAACCACAAATGAAAGAGAGTAGAGAAACCAAACCCAAGGAAGCACCAAGTGAAGCAATATCAAACCGTGTAATTCAAAGTGACAGAAGTAATCTCACATCTACAATCATTCCAGTTTGGTTATCCACAATAAGCAATCCTGAACATGAGATTCTTCTCTATGCTCTTCTTGACAGCCAAAGTGACACGACATTCGTCTTGGAAGAAAAGGCAGAAGCTCTAGATGCAGAGAAGACATGTGTGCAGTTAAAGCTCTCGACAATGTCTTCTAAAGATACTTTAGTACCAAGTCAACGGTTGTTTGGATTACAGGTCAGAGGTTTCTATTCTTCAAGGAGAATTCCGCTTCCTGTGACATACACAAGAGAGTTTATTCCTGCGAATTTGAGTCATATTCCCACACAAAGGACAGCAAGAGCGTGGCCACACTTACAGCACCTGGCTGAAGAAATCGCTCCACTGATTGAATGTGAAGTAGGCCTGCTCATTGGTTACAATTGCTCACAAGTGTTGGTACCCAGAGAAGTTGTGGCAGGAGAAGATAATGAACCTTTTGCCCAAAGAACAGACCTTGGCTGGACAATAGTAGGAGGAACTAATCCATGTGTTGACTATGGGGATGCCATAGGATGTAGCCACAAAATCATTGTCAAGGAAGTGACACCTAATCAGTCAGCTAAGCAGTTGGTCAAAGAAGTGCGATACATCTGTCGCACACAAGTCAAAGAGGTGGTCACATCCGCAGATGTAATTAAGGTGCTCGAGTCCGATTTCAATGAAAGAAAGGTGGAAGACTCACACTTCTCTCAAGAAGATTTGAGGTTCATCTCCATATTGGAAGAAGGAGTGAAGATGAAATCAGATGGACACTGTGAGTTACCTTTGCCATTTAAGCAAGACAGACCAAGTCTGGCAAACAACCGGAGTTGTGCTGAACACAGACTCAAATATTTGAAAAGAAGATTTGAGAAGGACAAGCAATACCACAAAGACTACACAGAGTTCATGAGAGAGACTATAGAGCGTGGTGATGCTGAAAGAGTTCCCTCTGTAGACCTGGACAAAAGCCCTGCCTGGTATATTCCACACCATGGGGTGTATCATCCACAAAAGCCTGGCAAGATAAGAGTGGTGTTTGATTGTTCAGCAAAGTACGAAGGAGTTTCCTTGAACGACTACCTGCTTACAGGGCCAGAGTTAACCAACTCTCTGGTGGGGGTCCTGTGTCGATTTCGGAAAGGTCCAGTTGCAGTGATGTGCGACATTGAGCGCATGTTCCATCAATTCAGAGTCAGAGAAGAAGATCAAGATTACTTTCGCTTCTTGTGGTGGGACAATGGAGACTTCAACTCTACTCCATCTGTCTATCGCATGCGCGTACACCTGTTTGGAGCTGCTTCTTCCCCTGCCTGTGCAAACTTTGGTCTCAAGTATATTGCTGCACAAGGTCAAGGCAAGTTCAGTGAAGCTACCATAAGGTTCATTGAGAGAAATTTTTATGTGGACGATGGTCTTATCAGTTTCCACTCAGAAGATGAGGCAATTCGTTTGGTGAAGGAAGCAAAGGAACTTTGCAGCACAGGAGGCTTGCGACTTCATAAGTTCGTTTCAAACAGTAAGCAAGTACTTCATTCGCTGCCGGAAGAAGATTGTGCAGATACAGTGAGAAAAGACTTGTCACTGGGCGAGCAACAAATTGAAAGAGCCCTAGGTGTCAAATGGTGCATTGACTCGGATCATTTCCAGTTTCGAGTAGTTGTGAATGAGCAGCCACTTTCCAGAAGAGGAGTGTTGTCCACAGTAGCCTCCATTTACGATCCACTTGGCTTTGTGGCACCTTTTGTTCTACTTGGGAAGCAGATACTACAGCAGATGTGTCGTGAGAAAGCAGATTGGGACGAACCACTCGCAAGCGATCTGAAGTCACGGTGGGAGTGCTGGTTGTTGGATCTAAAAAATCTAGCAGATGTCAAGATTGACAGATGTTACCTGCCCAGAGTTTTTCAAACAGTTCAGAAGTACGAGCTTCACCATTTCTCAGACGCAAGTGTTTCAGGGTATGGTGTTTGTATGTACCTGAGAGCTGTCAGTGAAGCAGGACAAGTCTACTGCTCTCTTGTCTTTGACAAGTCCAGAGTAACAGTGATCGTACAAGATGACCAAGCATCGAGAAACGACTGGAAGTTGGCCAAAGTTGTTGCCATACACCCGAGTGAATATGGATGAATACGCAAAGTACAACTGTTAATGAGTGACTCATTGTTAGATGATCATGGAAAGAGACTGAGTAAACCAGTTCTACTTGACAGACCTATACACAAAACTGTGACATTGTTAGAAGCAGATTAGTGTACATTTCATAAGTTCATGGGTAAAATCACAAGTGATTGGTGGGAGTGTAGCTGCCGTCAAAGGCAACTCTAGCATTTAAGTTCATTTTATTGGATTTAATGTTGAAACAATTAGTAGTTCAAAGATTGAGAAATAATATTTCAATAGTAATTCATATTCTGTTCATTAGATTTATATGTTTAAATGTGTATTTGTGTTAACTGTGCAATTAGATGGGAACCTTTTCTATAGTTCCATCCATTGTTGCTAAGGGGGCATTTTTCTTGGCACACTCAGCAAGCAATTAAGAGACGAGCCACGAGGTTGTACGTCTGCAGTAAGTTAAATAAAGAGTGCCTTTTTTGGACTACCTCACGGTGTACGGATTAAAGTTTATTCCCTTTGAGTGAGGCCAATGAGGTAAATGTTTTCTTTTGTTTATTATCGTTGTATATGTAAATTATGTAGATTTGCGTGATATTCTAGTGCAGTTACCGCAGTGTTAAGTGTAACGTGTATTTTATTGATCTATTTGTTGACATGTTCGTCATATAATGCTTAAGGACTTTATTAAGAATATTCATTTAAGTTTGTATTTCTTTTTAGTTCTGACGGCATTGTATCGGCTGTGGTTGGACATCATTACATGTTAAGACATGTCGAAGAATCCTCCTGTCCGAAATAAATGTCAGTAAAAACCAAAGAACAAGTTGAGCTTTATTAAGACTCGAGGGGAGTAACAATTCATTTGTCATTAATATGTAGTCTACACCCGTGCGTTAAGTGGACCATCTTCCAGTAAAAGCAAAGCATCCAGCCCATCTCTCCAAATGCGTAAAATGTGCACCACAGCCGTTAGGCGCGCGCGCACCGTCAGCTACATCAGCCCAGAGAAGAGCAGAGCAAATAGAATAGAGGATCATTCTGTCTGGATGTGGATGGAGATTACATTTTACAGCAGCCTGATCATCATTTAAATAAAACCATCACCTGTCTTCTAGTCCATCAGCATTATTTTAATTGGTGTGTGTGTGTGTGTGTGTGTGTGTGTTTTCCACTTCAAACACTGGTCTAACCAACCAGACCAGCATGTCCAGTAACATATTAATGTTACAATTAAACAGTTTCACTTCATGTAGGCTAGGAACGTTTCACCTGCCGTGGCCCGACCGCTTTTGATCCACATAAACTTTGTGCGTGATCAAATGTCTCTACAGGTGCTCTCTGAGCTGAAGAGGCTGTTCTGCCTCAGACTGGATGCGTCATGCGTCTCCATATTAGAGACGGGAACAAGCGCTGTTCAGCCAAAGTTTAATAATTTCATAAAAAGAACATTTTTCCAAGCTCATCATGCGCATCAGTGTGCGTCGGGGTAATTCTTTCAAAACAGCCAGCATCCTTGAGTTTATCCATCAAAATACAGTCAAATGGAAATATCTGTAACCTGCCATTTAACTGTTTTGCCTTCTTGTGAAGATTGTTGCAAAGAGAAACAACTAAACTTGATTAACCCCAGAGCCACGCGCAATGCGCTGTACCGACTGTAAAATGAGGGGAAACAATTTAATCGGATCCTTTTCTTTTCAACATGGTTTAATGTAAAGTTTCATTCAGTACAAACTTTAGTTACACCAATCTAACGAGACAGAGCCTGGATTTGTATTCTGAACAGTTTAAACATGTTTAAAACGGAGACGTGCGTGACGCGTCTAAAATTCGCACCTGCTCCGCTATTATGGAAATTAAACTAACAAGGTGAATAACATCAAATTATTTTAGGCACAGACAACATCTCCCACACTTTTGAAAATCTTGCAACGCGCCTGGTTGCTCGTGTACGTCAAAGTTATCTTTCATAAGAAGATAATCATAAAACGATTTATATAAAGATGATCCAGAAGTTGTAGCCCGTCTCTGCCTATACAATATTTTGATATTTTTCACCCTGTTGGTGGTTTTACTGAGCAGGTGCCACTTTTGTCATACGTTTCTTTTAAAAACATGTTTAGACTGTTCAGAATACAAATCCAGGCTCTCAGAACCAGAGCGCATGCGGGAAGGTTCCTCCCACTGAAGCGAGAGTTTTCCAAACCCGGTCTCTCAGAGAGATTTGTCACTTAGAAAATGTTCCCTGATTATGAAACTTTGGCTGAATAGTGCTTGTTCCTGTCTCCAATGTGGCGACGCATCCAGGAGCCGTCTGAGGAGAATCCCAGAATCTGACATCCTCCAGCTCAGGAAGCGCATATGATTACGCACAAGCGTGACGCGTCAACCCGGTCTCACAGTAAGACCGGGTTGACCTGTTCAGGTTTACGCAGACAATCTTTACATTTGGAATTAGCATACAGATGTAAAATTAATGCAGTAAAATATAAAGCTTTTTATTTAAATATTCATTCATTATTTTATAAGCACAGAGAGCCGCATCAGATGGATGGAAGAGCCGCATGCGGCTACAGAGCCGCCGACCCCTGTGCTAGCCTACTTTATTGTCCCCAGCAATTTTTAAACCCCACTCAAGTGTATGGTTATTGTCCCCAGCAATTCTGAAAACAAACTGACGCCCTTGCCAACATAATTATAGCTCATAGTTTATGACCCAAGGGCTATAGACCTTGGTTTAACTCATTTAAGTCTAACCAGTACAGACCCAAATACCAATATCTTGCAAATACTGACAACAAGAATTATACAGTATATAACAAATAAATGCAAATAAATTGATGAATAAATTGATGTTCACAAAATGTTGCATAACATTTATTTAGTCGTGTCAAGGTGCTGTAGGAGAGTGCACTAGCACCGTGTCCTCAGAGAGATTAGTTATTAGTTATCAGGAAGTTATTTCTACCTTATTTATAAACTATTCATTTACAGGTCCATCTTTTAATGTAATAATTGTCCCAACCACAGCTGCACCCCCCACCCCCCAACCCGGTCACACACCAATCGGGGCAAGCTGCACGTGTGTTTAGCACGCTGCACGCGCACATTTAGTTGTTTTTAGTGGCTCAGGAGTCCGCAGGTGCGGTGTGTGTCACTCACTCACTCAACAGAGCCGACTCTGAGAGTAGTGATGTGTCGGTAGCGAACGAACAGGCTCTAAGAGCCGGCTCTTTGAAGTGAACGACGGGAGCCGGCTCGTCATTGGGAGCCGTCCCCTCCCCCCTCCCCCCCTGCCTTGGTGAAAGCTACAGGCAATTGGTCAACATGTGTAACTGTGTGTCCAGACTGTCCACACACAGAGCAGTAGGGGCGGGGAAGAGGTAGGATCAGACTCAGACAGATACACAGCAGAGCACATGCCAGTGGAGGGAGACAGGAATGAGGAGGAGGAAAAAGGCAAGCGAGAGGGAGGAGAGTGCGACGAAGACGGTGAGAAAATGAGCGCCAGCAGTCGGAAAGTGGAGATTTGTTAAAGTGTTCAGTTATTAAATCCATAGAAATTATAAACATTTGATATATTTCTTTTTTTTACATTAGTAAATTATTTTACATATAGTTTAGCATTATTTTGGTTATAAATGTACTCTACGCAACAGAAAATCTGAGGAGCCACTTGGGAGCCGAAAGAGCCGGCTCTTTTTGGTGAGCTGAGCCAAAAGAACCGGCTCTCTAAAAAGAGCCGGAATTCCCATCACTATCTGAGAGCCGTTTCTTTAGCGACTGACATCACTGCATCATTCCCTTTCCTAATGTCCTGAAGAACGGTCCGGAGAGCAGGCGGAGTGTTTAGCTAACCTGCAGGAAATGTCGACGACAGTTATCCAGAAAGTAGCTAAGGGTTACCAGAGATGTTTCTGAGGTGTTCGCTAGGTACTTTTAAGATTTAAAAAGTCAAGAAGGGGGTCTGAAAAGCTGTTAGAAATAGCGTCAAAGTCGCCTAGTTGGCAACACCCTAGGAGGAGCGCTTCATTTGCAAGTCGGGGCAGCACAAGTGGGAGGAGCAAATAATCGGCTTGTTTTGTTTTTATAATCGTTCAAAACTCAGATCGTAATCGTGATTAAAATTCGATTAATTGAGCAGCCCTACTTGTAACATAAGCTAGCTGGTTATATTATTAATGCTTATTAAGCTAATATTTTGTCCTGGGTCCAGTCAAGCCTGTCAGCTGGCCTGAGCGTGCACATTAATGTTCCATCATCCAGGCATCTAGATTCAAGAGTCAACTTAAAAAAGGGCATATTCACAACTATAAAACTAAAAGAGGATCTGTCAGAGGGAATTAAAGCACGTTTTCATGAAACCGTAAAAGGCCAAACTGTTTTCTTTGTTCCAGTTTGTCGATAAATGATCAGACCAGTGATTCAAATGGAAAGAAATAACTTTCTGATAGTCAACGTTGACATTTTTTATTTCTCACTTCACTGGGTAAGCTTATTGTATGCATTTGTTTCTATTAAGGTGTTTATTTATTCTGCTTAATGATACATTACTTTCTGACTTTGAGCTGGTGGAAACTGAATACTTTTCTCAGGCAAAAAGATTAAATGTAGCCACCAGTTCATTTGACTTGCTTAAATATAGAAAAATTGCCATTGTCCCTTTTGAATAATTTTAGATGAAAAATTTGTCACTTTGTCGTATTTTTCTGTATTTTGTTTCTCTGACCCGATTTCTCCAGTCCTACATAGTGCATGGTGGAAAGCATGTGAACCAGAAAAAAATGTAATTTAAAAAAATACAACAAACAAAAGAATCTTAGTGAGAGCCCTTTTAAAGGGTTAACTTTAACAAGGATCACTTAGTTTAATGTGACCTAACAAAAATTACAGAATTAAGCAATAGTTTGTTACGTAGCTCATGAATGTTCGGCTTTATAAAAAAGTGACCTGGTTTTCTACATTTATTACTATAAATGTCTTATCTGACCTGAAATCAGCAGATACATAATTACACATATACACTCACAAAAATATTATAGTTGTTAGTCTCTGCCATGCAGTGCAACTGCATACTTCCTTTTTCAAGTAGGGGATGTCCAGCTTCCTGTGCTTACAACACAAAACCCATGACAACTGATTCACCAAACTGAACTATAGATGCCTCAAAGCGATACTTTCAGCAGCTAAACTGGACGGTGTTGTATTCACCCACTTATCTACAGAACAGTCATTGAGGTTTGGGTTTAACTTTAGCTGTTCCTCTCTGCACCTTTGCAACACAACAGCTGGGAATCTAGCTGTCACAGTGCAGCGTGCCTAATCAGGCAACACTGGGATGGGGCTTTCCACCGAGCAAACACACACACACACACACACGTGACATGCTTAAAACACATGCACACAAACTTAGATGAAGTAGCACCAACGTTTTTGTGGTCGGATCACGATCTGTGGTTGAAGCTACGTGCTGCAGATTTATCTCTCAGATGAAAAATGCACCACACAATCAAAAGCTACATTTCAATAGATCATATTTATAGGAAACAACATGTTTTATTACAAAAATAACATCTACAGGAAAAAAACTAAGTCTTTAAAAATGATTTTATGTCAGTTTGGATGCATTATTTACATATACTGCTTTAAAAATGATTGAAATATTTATTTCTGCCTGTCATGTATTTAAAAATACATGTTTACACAACATTTATGGCTTAAGTTGGATATAAAAACAAGACATTGCACTGAAACAATCACTCTTTTCCAATGAGAAATACAAATAAATATTAATATAGTTAGACTTTTTAAATCTGTCATTAAAAGAATATATTTACTTAAAGAAACACTAACAATAGCACCACATAAACAATTAGGTATAAACCCAAAGTAAGAAGCTTATGCATCAATAATATTTTAATCGCATTATGATAACACAATGGTTTTTTTTTGGGCTAAATAACAAAAAAGTGCAAAAAGATTGTAATTTGACATTGAGGTATATAACATTTTAAAAACTGCATTGGCATCTTCTCTCCCCAACACAGTAATCTCCTGCAGTGCCATGGGACAACTCTGTCTGGGTGTTTGTACAGATCTAAAACCATGAACTCATTTTCTCTTGCAAAATGGAAAGTTTGGGGTTATGTTCACATCTCAAGATGTCAGTTATTTAATCTGAACCTCCACCCAGGTTGCTTCCTGCATTGTAGTGCTGCTTTACAGTGTTCAGTAGAGAATCAAAAACTGGTTTTCGTTTATAGCCGGGCGCACTCTTCAAAATGGTTCATGCACTCTGCAGCTTCTGTGTCGTTGAACCTGGCGGAGCAGTGCGGACACTGTAGTTCCGACAGACCTGGGAGTTCGTTCCAATTTGTTACGTTTGCAGCAGCAGCGTCCACTGCAGGCGGCGGCGGCCTTTCAGCAGCAGCCCTTAGCAGAGGCTCTGAGGAGTCCTTACTTCGCCTCGAGGAGATCCTGTGTCCTATGTGAACACGGCACACAGAACCCAGGTCTCTGCCTGCTCCCTGCAGAGATTTACAAACACCTTGTCAAGCCACGTGGCTGTAATAAGTAAAAAAATGAGTGGATGCTTGTACAGAAGCATCTAAATGACGATCTGACACCTCACCTGTTTGTGGATCTGCTGCTTCAGCTGAGAAATCTGCTCCTTCAGGTCTGCGATCTGACCCTGTGCACGCGCTCTGTCGGCTCGCTCTGATTTAAAGTCGTCTGTATAAATCAAAACCTTACGGGGAAAACAAAACAACTTTGAAAATTCACAAAACGATTACGATCACTTTAAATGTGCTAATATTACATTAATACCAACCTGCTGCTCCAAGGTCTGGATTCGCTCTTGGCCTTGCCTCCTTATCTCCTCCACCTCTCTCTCCAACCTTGAACAGTCTCTTATTTTCTCCTCCAGTAAAGTGTTGAGCCTGGCGATCTCCTGATGAAGCAACACTGAGCTGACGGAGCCCTGCCCGGTGTTCTCCTTCAGCCTCTGACACAACCCTCGGATGTAGTCCTCCCTGCTTGAGTCATACTTCTGCCACTGAGAATTCAAACTCTGTACCTAAACAATGGAAATAAATAAGAAGCAAAGCTCAGCATTAGAAATTGTGTGTGCAGCTGATAACAGATTTGGTTGGAAGTAAAATTTTGCACTGAAATATAGGGGGAAATCTGTTGAAATCAAAAATACAAACGCACATAAGCTACGCGCTGCTTCAGCTGTTGGTTCTCCTCTTGAAGCTGATGAATTTGGGATTTGGCAGCACTTAGGTCAGAAGAGCTGGGCGTCTGGAATAAAAAGTCAAAAAGGGGTTAATAAATAACTCAAAAAGAGCAAAGAAGGCATTGATTTTTTATATTGTTTATATATATATATATTGAGCAAAAATATTATAAAATAAGATGAAATTGTACTTTTTGCTGCTGGGACACTTCCTCCACTTCTTCTCCGTCTCCTCCCTTCTTCTCCAGCCTGCCCAGCAGCTCCTGGCACACCCTCACTGTGGCGCTGAGCTGACCCCGCAGCTGGTCAGCTTCTTCGGCCAGCGACGTGCAGAGCACGGTCCTGGTGGCTTCGGCCCGCTGCTTCTCCTCCAGGGCTGTCCTCAGCCTGTGGATCTCCTGGTCCTTGTCGTGGTCCGGCTGACACCTGATGCTCTCCAGCTCCAGATCTTTCTCTCTGAGCTGCAGGTTCAACCTCTGGATCTCCTAGTTTGGGGGACACAAAGAAGAAAGTATGAGAAACCAACTTTTTTCCTGAAAATGACAGAAATAAATCATGCTTTTTACATATTTGAAGCTTCCTTTGGAGCTGCTGGTTTTTTACCTCTGCTTGACAGGATGCCTTGAGCTCCAGATCATCTTTCTTCTGTTTTATTTTGCACAGCTCCTTCAGTAAACTCTCCACCAAAGACTTGGAGGGACCGAGGAACACCCGCTCGTCGTCTCCCATCGTCATGCAGATCCTCTCATGCCTCCCGACCCTGGACTTTAAATCTGCGATTATATTGTCCTTTACGCAGATCTGTTTGTTGAGAAGCTCGATTTCCTGCCTCGTCTCGTGAAACAAAGTGTTTAACACGCTGTAGCTCCGCATTTTGTCCTTCGGCTGCGCCTCGTTCTCCGCCTTCAAACTACTCGAGCTATCCATCGCAATCGCAATGCTTAAAATTTGTAGATTTCGCGAAAAACGGTTTCAGTCTTTTAATAATCCAGCATTTGACGCCTCTGCCTCTTACTCTGAGTCTTTCAGAAACACACCGAGAAGGTGAATTCTGGAGGAGATCTGGCGCATCAGTGTCGAGAATATCCCCGGACGCTCTTGGGGGATTTCCTAGGGAACTTCCCCGCGGACTTTTCTGAGCGTCGTCAAAACGGAGCCTGGCTTTCAAAGACTCACTGCCGAGATCCGTTGGTAAAAAAAAGTGGAGGCTTGTCAGGCTGTTGGCACAAATTCACTGGCTGTTTGTACAAAAACACAAAACGATTCCCCTTTCTTGCTGTCTTCAGCTAGCTAGCGTCGGCTAGTTAGGCAACCAGAAAATTGATATCACTGCTGCATTCACTGCCGTCGTAAATTCGAGAACATTCAGCACAAACCAAACGAGTTCACCTGATAGAACAATCCCCACTCTACACATTTCGAATATTATTCACGTGAGTCACAAAAAATGCTAATCTAAGTTACATTTTTTGTGAACCCAGTATTTGGGTGGTGGCTTTCACCTGAAAGTATATGGCAACACAAATAGATGCTAACAAGTACAGTTTCCCAGTTACCAAACATCCCGTCCCTACCAATCACATCAGATGATTCAGTATATGAATTCCCCTCACAGTCCATTATTTTGTCCATGTGAATTTCCCCCACTGCATTTGATACTTTTTAGCTCATTATTATTATTATTATTATTATTATTATTATTATTATTATTATTATTATTATTATTATTATTATTATCTGAGTAATTCCATTTAGGCTAAACCAGAAAATTGATACATGAGTTTTGTATGGTCTTTTTTTTAATGGTCGTATGGTTCATTACTGCTTTCTTACAGCACTAAACCTGTTCCACTAATAAACCAACCTCATCATCACATGGAATCCAAGCATAACTGCACTACCAACACATGACCAATCTTTGCAACGTGTTATCAGTGAGATTACTTTCATATGACCTCATGTTTCTGATGCACTGACATTATTTGAATAATGAAAGATCAGTAAACATGCTCTTTTTTTGTTAGGCATTTCTTATGATAGCGAGTTTGATCTAATCTTTACAGGAAACGCAATGTAAATTTCTGTGGCCAAAAAAAATCTACCCCATTTCAGATTTATTCTGCTTTCACTTTTATTTTCACACCTAAATTTTTAAATATCAGACAAACTTGAGTAAATACAAAATGCAGCTTCAAATGAATAGTTTTTTTTTATTAAAGCTATCCAAACCAACTTGGTTCTGATCATGAAAAAAAATGTATTAACTACTTTATTTGGAAAGCTGAGTTCATATTCACTAGCTGCACCCAGGCCTGATTTCTGTTAGATCACAGTACCAACAGTCAAGCATGGTAGAGGTAGCATGATGGTCTGGGACTGCTTTGCTTCTTCAAGACCTAGATGACTTGCTGTAATTGTGGAAACCATGAATTCTGCTCTCTACTAGAAAATCCTAAAGGAGAAAATCTGACCTGTGACCCTACAAAAGGAGCTAATGATGGGAAAACTCCAAAGGTCCATTACATTTTCACATAAACAAGGTTGGTTAGAATAGGTTTTGGTTCTCTTTAAACACATTTTTAAAAAATAGCTTTTTGTATTTATGCGGGTCATCTTTGCTACTGAAATTTACTTGCTGGTCTAAAGCAAGGGTTAGGGTAACCCAACCCCTAACCCTCAGCAAAAATGTAAAATCCTTACTTCAGTCATGATGTAATCATAGTTTACATTATGTGGAATTGGTAGAAACACTGTGTTTTCCACTTTGAACTTCCTGAAAATAAAATGACGATAAGCAGGAAGCACTAGTCAATTAACTGGAAAAGAGTGACCTTCATCTGACCTTATGCTTTCCAAATTGTTAACATATTTACCTTGCAGTTGGTTACGTTTGGAATCAAAAAACAAGAACAGTGTTAGAAATAGAAGCAACATGTTCAGATGTAGACATTTAAAAATCCTTATATTGCAGCAACAAGGAACATGAAATGTTGCCCCGTTACACCCTTAAAGATTTTGTGAAACCAAACAAATATAAAAAAAACTTTCTAACAGCAATTATGTGTACTAGAGAACAAGAGCCCTCCTTTCTTATTAAAATGCATTACATTGGTCAATAACATGTTTTTTAACATAATAAAGTGTAATATTTGACTTTAAGAACCAGTTATTTGACATGCTCATACAAAATAAGCTCATATATTGTGTCAGCTGAAGGAGTTTTACACATGATCCGATTGTCCCTGTGGTTGAACTGGGAACACTCAGTGTCAGAGCTAAAAACCAGTGAACAGCTCAGAATCAAACTACTGTCTAGACTGTAGGAGTGTTAAATACCTTTCTGACATTCATCCAGCAGGTTCTTACACTGCCGAATGGAGAGTCCCATGTATTTCTGGGTCAAACAGACCACGACTGTGTCTATGGAGGCAAGTCAGTGAAAGTCACATCGTTAGTCATGTGAAAAGTGTCAGAATCAAGGTGTGAATTCTGTTGAAACCGCGTTGGAGGAAGGGCCTAGATTTGATCCAATAAATCATTTTTGTTTACAGTCACATGCTTTTCTGATGTCATATCCACGTTGGGTAATTTCAACAAACAGTGTGAAAATTTTTCTTTTGTCTTTTGTCACCACCCACCTCCTACTGTCACCTTTCCTGATTTGCTGTTACATGAGTTCAGAAGTCATGACACTGACAGCTCTTAGATGTTTATCTGATTGTGTGATCTGCTCTTTATGTTAGGGGAAGCCTCAGATTCTCTTAGGGCAGCTATGCCCATTAAATCTGTGAATTCTGTAAATTTTAATAATCTCATTGTTAAAACAAGAACTTCATCCAATAATCCATCCGTGGCTTGCTGTAGCTATCGCTAACAACGAGTTAACACTAACATGTGCCAACTGATACAAAATAAGCTGCAAAGTAAAAAGATCCACATTGCTGGGCAAAAAATATTACTGACAAGTCCAGTAGCAACAAAGCCAGGTCGTCATCAGTCTGCGTTTTAGTCAGCTCCTTCAAATCAGTACTGACGTTCACTCTGGTTTTAGCCTCATGCTTTGCCTCCAAAGACTATACCCTCTAGCCGTTTCTACAAAACAATGCTATCAGTTTGCTGCAATGGCATCAAGGAGCCTTGGGTCTTTTTTAAGTGGTCAGACCATGGTGGTAATGTGGCGCAATTGTGTCCTTTTTACAAAACATTATACGATGGCGGCATAAAGGGGGTATGGGGGTGGTCCCTGTGCTGCCACGGACTTCCATTTATCTTGCACACAACTTGCTTTTTATTGCGATTGAAGCTGCGCTAACTTAATTTTTTTAACAAGGCGCTGTTGGTGTCTGTCCCCCACAGTCCCCATGCAGTCTCTGATGATCAGACCTCCAGCTCTAACAGAGAGAAGCTCCTGGATCGCTCCAGTTTGCAGTCTCAGCTGCTTTTGTTCAAAGAGCAAGACCTACGGCCCGTGTTTACTGTCATTTTCAATTAAGCTGCCTACTGAAGCAAGGCATTAACTCCCTACGTCATCATGACACCTCCCATCTTTGCGCCAAAGTGTAGTTGCCGTTTACAAGACAGATAATTACTGCAAAATTACTACCAAGCGAGGCAAAACGAATGCCGCAAAATTTGTGCAATGCCATGAGTCTTCTTCTGGCTTTTGGAGAGTACAGACGCTTTTTTCCTCCCTCTTCTCTCTATCTTATCCCAAGGCTCTTTGTCTTTGGGTGTACGGTACTTCTGCATTTTTTCTGGAAACTGGAAATTATTAGAAATGGATCTGGTCAGTTGGTCTATCAATGCGATTGACAACATTTTTTCAACGATGAGAACGGGAGAAGGGGCTCCCAGATGTCCCTCTTGGACAGAACCAGCTGGACATATCATGGACTCCTGGAAACAGTGGAACCTGATCTGCCTGTCTCAACTGTCTGTAGAGGATTCTGAAGACGTCTGGATATTCATGGTGTTGGTGTTAGGTTTCTTGCTGTTTGGCCTGAGCCGTTACCTGGCTTACCGGAAAATTAATGAGCTTTCGAGGAATATTGGCTCAATCCCGGAGCTTAGGGATGGATTACACCGCGCTGTGAACGCACAAACTCATATAATTGTCGAGATGAGTCGTAAGCTGGAACTTTGGCTGAGATTCAGGCTCTGGCACAGAAGGTGGATTTGATCAAAGAGAGAGTTGGCAGATCAGCACGGTTGGGGGTAGACTAATTACACCATTATTGGATCTAGAGGGGTTGAGGACCAACGGAACTTTAAGGCAGAGAGGAAATTATCTCTGTCTGGCCCCAAAACAAGTTTTTATCTGAATCTGGTGCCCTTGAGCCTGTGAGGCTGAAGTGATTACTCCCCCTCAGAACAAATGTGGAATGCTGCCGTCGCCATGGCAACTCTTTCTCCCTATCCCAGCCTGGGCGGGACTGAGACCTGTGAAGGTTGTGGAACCATTTCCAGGAGTCACTGTGCTTTCTAACCCATTATCTCCCTCCCCTGTCCAAACGGAGGTGACGAGCGCTGCTCATTGCGGCTGCATGCACTGATGTGAGGAGAGTCTCTAACCCTACCTCCCCACCTAGTGGACACTTATGTTGTGTGATGTCTGAAGTCTGTTGCATTTCTGTCTGAGGTGTTTTTGCGTAGCAAAGCTGCCCTCCCTGTGGAGGGTAACTCTGAAGTGCATTTTTTTCCTCCACCTGACTCAATCCTCATATAAACCCTCTGATCTCTATTAAGGTAGCGCGACTCAGGTTGCGAATGACCACAGTCACCAATTCTTGTCATGTGTCTATGTCTATGTATGTATGTCTGATCTCAGAATTGTGTGTACTGAAACTCTAATTTCCCTCTGGGATTAATAAAGTATCTTTGAATTGAACTGAATTGAATTGTTGGCATGGCATGTTTATAAGACACACTGCTGCGGTAACATTAAACCGATTTGCTGGCACGGTGTGTCTTGTAAAAAGGGCTTCTTATTTTCACTTTTAGGTGCCGCCATGATGCAGACAAAACAACAACAGCAAATTTCTACTTTTTCTTCTACTTGTGTTTTAAGCGCCTTGTGATTTTTATCTTGAGAGGCGCTATAGAAATGATACTTTCTTCTTCTTCTTTTTTAATTGACAGTCGGGGAACTGAAAAAGCTAACTGCAAACCTTCATAATATAACCTTCTTAATAGCAAAGTCATTGGCAGAGTAAACATCTAACAGCCATAAAGCAGGCAGAAACCTCTCCCTAGAGCACTTACCTGAAAGACAAAACTGTTAAGTTTTTTGAGGAATGTAGAGTGCTGTCTCGTGTGAAGTTGATAAGTTTCTTCCTACAGAATCACTGAAACCCACTTTTAAAGGAATATTTTAAAAGTGTTAAAAATGCTTTAGAGTTGCACAAAATGTAAATATTTTACAAAGAAATATATAAAAGTTAAAAGACAAGAGAAACTATGAGCGGTGGTGATGTGTTCTGATGTGCTTCAGTCTACTCAACAGATACATTTTACAATACTAGAAATGTTATAATATGTTATTAAAAATGTGATCAAACTGGAGGTCCCAAAGAACTTCAACAAGGAGGAAATGCGTTCTAAAATGTCAAATACGTAAACAAACAGTTGGAGCAAGACTTCAGTGTGGCTTAGAGGAGACTCCGGTCCACCGTCCGGCGTCTCAGGAGCTAAAGCGGTTCACTACCAACACTATTGATAGTGGGACGATGTGCTGCTGACTTCAAATCAGGACGTAGTGTACTGGTGGGTAGAGTACTTTAAAGACCTCCTTAATCCCACTGGCCCATCTTCCAGTGAGGAAGCAAAGTCTGGGGACTTTGGGTCAGGCTCTCAGTCTCTGCTGAGGTCACAGCGGTGGTCATAAAGCTCCTCAGTGGCAAGGCCCCAGCGGTCGGTGAGATCCGACCGAAGTTTATTTAAGTTCCTGTAAGTTGTGCGGCTGTGTTGGTTGATGCGGCTCTGCAATTTAAAAAAAATGGGGGGGGGGGGGGGGGGGGGGGGCTGACCACAGGGTGTGCTCCAACTGCAGAGGGATCACACTCCTGAGCCTCCCTGGTGAGGCCTATTCAGGTGTTCTGGTAGGGAGAAGAAGAAGAAGAAGAAAGTATCATTTCTATAGCGCCTCTCAAGATAAAAATCACGTGGCGCTTCACAAAAACAAAAACAAAAAATGTAAAAATATAAAAAAGCATTTTGAAAATGTTTAAAAATATATTTTAAATGAGCAAGAATAAGCAATTGCGATTTAAAAGAGAAAATGTTAAGAAAGAGAGAGAGTGAACAGGAAAGAGGGAAATCAGTGGATCCTGAGGAAGGTGGAATAGGCGGGGAGAGCAGAATAAAGAGAGAGTGGTGAAGAAGATCATACAAAAGCCATACAAGAGAGTCTGCCGAATGGTCGAACCTCAGATTCAGAAGGAGCACTGTGGTTTTCATCCTGGCCGTGAAACATTAGACCAGCTCTGTACTTTTATGGGGGGTCCTAGACAATGTGTGGCAGTTTGCCCATCCAGTCCACATGACTCTTGTAGATTTGGAGAAGACGTTTGACCATGTTCCTTAAGGGGCTGTGTGGAGGTACTCCAGGGGTATCAGGCCCCTCGACAGGCTATTAGGTCCCTGTACGATTGGTGCCAGAGCTTGGTCCGCATTTCTGGCAGTAAGTCGGGCTCGTGAGAGCTGGACTGCACCAAGGCTGCCCTTCGTTACAGATCCTGTTCATATCTTTTATGGACAGAAATTCTAGAGCCAGCCAAGGTGTTGAGAGGATCTGTTTTAAAATCAAACAACTGTTCAAAAATATGTAAATGATTATTTTTCAACTTTTACAGTGTGACATAAAATATTTATTTCTTTAATATTGAGTTAAAAATAGTTGAAAAACAACTCTTTCAACTGAATGTTAATTAGTTATAAGTATGATTTTTTTCTTATTAAAATTTTTATTTTATTTTATTTTCAAAACAAAGGCCTTCCCCACTAAATTTTACCAATACGTTCCACAAGATGGAACTGTGCAACAAATATCCCACTGTTCAGAATTTTTCAACCACAACACTTAAACTGAAAAATATTCTGGACACACAAACAACATGACTCACCTTAAACATTTTAAAACTTTTAATTAGTCAACGCTTTGGTTTAAATGACAATATTTGATATTTACACTTTCTTAAACAACATTTTATATTACACACAGTACCTTATAGGGCAATTTACTGCTCAGCACAACACTAAACAACCAAAAATTAGATTATATCTAACAAAAAATAAAAAAAATGCTCAAAATACATCAAGTAGCTGCAAGTTAAAACAAAAGCTTGACTGAAATATGAAAGCTGGAGTAGAAAAATATTTGTTTTATCATGATGACAGAAAGAAGAAACATTTTTAAAGTAGGAATATAGAAAGAGAATATAGCCAGCTATCTCTCCATTTTACTTGCAAACAGAGGGAATAAAATCAGGCAACTTTCACACAAGAATCACACCTTTCCATAATATGCCCCAAGAAAAACACCTTTTCTAGTTCATGGTGCAAACTGAATTTCAAAAAAATAAAACGTCTTGGTCAGGAAGACGTTGTTAAAGAAATTTTCTATTTTTTTGTTCAATTTAACTTTAAATTCCTTCATCAAAAATTTTCATAAATTGTTAATTTAATGTGTTTTAAAGTTAGTCAGGTCTAAAAATACTTATTTCCAGCTCTAACCCTCAGATGTCTGTTTGATTAACTCAACTTTTTCTTACAACCAGTAATTGTAAAAACATTTTATTATAAATTCAGTTGTGTAACTTGATATTCAGCTCCACGTTAACCACTAACCCAGTGCAAAAAAGAAAAGCTTGTTATGGAAACACGTGCTGTATTAAAAACTGTCCACTAAGGGGCAGTAGGTCAACACTAAATGAACATGAAAAGTGATTATTTCCCTAAATGGCAGTTAAAGTAAAAATAAAACATCAGCTTTTACTTTTTATTTATGTGTGTTATATGTGTAATTTCACATAATCCTAATGATTATACTTCAAGTGGATGAACGAGTATGTTCTGTTTTTATGAGTTCTGTGCCCCAAACACAAGTCAGCCAGTAAATAAACTCAATCTCCCACGCAGATGCGCAGTTTCTAGCACTGGATCTTACGAATGCTGCGTGTAATCCTCTTAAACTCTCGCTGGCCCTTCTGCCAGCGCTTCAGTGAGGTGATAACCAGACGACCATCAACCTTCTGGCCCACAACCAGGTAGGCAGCGTTGATGTCGTTCATCTCCTCGCAGATGCACTTCTGCCCATCCCTCAACCACAGCACCGTCTTCCGTAGGTCACGCTCGCTCACGCCATTCATCATGTAAATGGTCTTGCTCTTGGTCTCTGGTACTACCTTGGTGTCTCCGTTGATGTATGAGATCTCCTTCACTTTGATTTTCAGGGCTTGGAAGAGAAAGAAATGAACGATCAGACACAATCACCGGAGTTATGTTAAAAATTCTATTAGTTTTCATCACATGCTGCTAAAATTACTTCTTCGTATTTGACCCACCTCAGTGGGGAGCGGTGAGCTGCAGCAGCGGCTGTGCTCAGGAACTATTTGGTGGTATCCCCCCCCCCCCCCCCCCCATCCAACCCCATAAAGCGGAGTGTCAAGCGGGTATGACCCAACCGGGATTTGAATCCTGATCTCCCAGTCTCAGAGCGGACACGCATACCACTAGGCCACTGAGAAGGCTAAGGAGGAGAGTTTAAACTTTTGGAACCCATATATTTATTTCATCTCATTGTTTTTTATATGTATTTTTTCAGACCTTCCTCCGACCTCGTCAGAATGATACTTTCACAGAATTATTCAGAGTTGGAACACAACCCAAGCTGCAGCACTGGTTCATAAACCAGAGCAAGGGTTTTGTTTTGGGTGATTAAAACATTATCCGCCATATTTGATCTGAGGCTGATCAAGAAGATCCCTTATTGCAATGTTTTACACTGCAATAAGACACATGTTGTCTTCCATAGAAGTGGAAGGCCAAACTGACCTTTGGGAGAATTATGAGTTCCAATCTAGTTCTGAGAAACTTAACATCCTCTGGGATGTTTTTTAATAGTTTCTTGTAAACAGATTCCAATTTACATTTACGTTTGTCTTAATTTTGATTTGAATGTATTTTGAAACCACACTTCATGATTCACAGGGCCCCTCAGGGGCCCTGGACCCTCTCACCTGGTCAAATAAAGCTGCGTCACTCACCAAAATCATTCTTGCACAGGTTGTCAACAATTTCATTGTCATTTTCTTCTGTTTCTTTACAGGCATCACACACCCTGGGTACTAAAAGAAGAAAAAGATGAAGTGAAAACAATAGAATGTCTATAAGAATCGTGCTGTTTCGTGGAGAATCAAATTGTCTCCCGATTCCTTTACGCACGAGACTTGGATGTCTATGTCAGGTTTATTAAGAGCCTTACCCTCTTTAGTGACTGGCACGACGTTTTCCACGCTTGCAGGTGGTATGCACAGGTCGTTGTCCAGTGGGAAGCGGTCGCAGTTCAACATGTCAGGCCACGGGTAGCCAAACGCGTACATGACGGGTGCGCATCCGCGCTTCACGCTCTCACACAGCGACCTGCAAGGCTGGATGGGCTCGTCTAAATCATCCAGGCAGACGGGAGCGAAAAGCGAACAAAGGAACTTCCTCGTGTCCGGGTGACACTGCTTCTGGATCAGAGGGATCCACGAAGAAGCTTGCTGCAGAACTTCGTTCATGGATTCGTGCCCGAGCAGGTTCGGCAGGCGCATCTCCGTGTACTCTATGTCGTGACAAAGGAGCAGGCTGGACGGAATCTGCTTGCAGTTGTTCTTTTTGTGGAATAAATCATGCTGGCCAAAGTTGTACAGTCCGTGGATGGCTTCTGCGCAGGATGCCGAGATCATCCACAAAACGGTCACCGTGAAAATGAAGCCTCTCATTTTTGCCTTCTGAAAGTTGCGAAATGCGTTCAAGATTGTTTTTTGCTGCGCTCCAGCTGGATGAAGCGTGTGTCAGTGACCAGATCCTGCCGGTAACTGGGGTTTTCTTCCAGACATGTCTGGGAGGAGTCTGCAGCTTGTGCGCAAGGAGCTTTTTTCATTCAGCAAAACTGGTTTCCTAATGTCAGGAGAACACTGTAGACAAATTTGTCTCGGCGAAAGAAAAGCCTATTTCTCCTCTGGGCGTGAGCGACATAATGATGTTTAATTGTGCCTCAGCATTTTATCATCAGTTGTTTTCTTGACAGCATCCCCCCAGCCCCCGGAATCATAACAGAATCTGTCTGACAGGTTTTCCTCATTACGCACAAATCAGCACAATACACCAAGAGTGATCCCTGGGCTTGCTGTTTTTGGAGGCGCACAGTAAATACTTGAGAGGGGGGTGTCAGTAGGGGCATTTAGCTCCGTTCAGTGGAGCGTTAATTTTCCATCATTAGGAGTGCTGAAATCCTTTGGGCAGGCCTGCAGGTTCGTGCCACATGGTGAAATATGGCTTGGCCTGGTGTGAGGAGCAGGCCTCAACTCAGCGCACCCGAGGGTGAAACCGAATCTGTCTCCCACCTCCAGGCTCTGCAGCTCTGGCTCCTGTCTGGTCCCAGATCCCCGTGAGCTGCAAAAAAAAAAAAAAAAAAAAAAAAAACACTGCTTCCTCTCAGGCATAAGCTGGAACGGTAAAGCACGCGGAACTTGTTGCTAAAAGGGTCAGTGCACACAGAGTACACACTATACACCTATTTTTTCCCACTTTGGTTCTTGGTGGATCCTTCTATTGCAGATGTTTTTGTTTTGACCACTTGAGGTTTAGCCATCTATCTGAAGGAAATACACAGCTGGCCTGAGAAGCAGAAAAAGTGGTGCGCATCAATCACCTAGTAATAATCCACCACACACTGACTTTTATTGTTGCACTTCTTTCCATTCAGTAACACCAGGAAACAAAAAACATGGATGTAACCGTTCGTGCAACAAGTATGGAAGCCCATTGCTGACAAAAATATCTTCTATTGCATAATTATGAGACTTATTACATATTGAAATAGATAATTCATAAGATTTTTCATTAAAATTAGAACAGATATTTGAAAGCAGCTTTCTTGTACATTCAGTTTATTTACATAGCGCCAAGTCGTCTCCAGTCTGTTGGCAAGTAAAAATTTCAAGTGTTATATTTGTGGTCGATTTTTTTGCACATAAGCAGTGCTGCTACAGTTACCTTGAAATAGTAATTAGATTACTGACCTCTCCTTACAGTAGTAACTTAGTTACTTTACTGATTACTTTATTTTCGAAGTAACTAAGTTAAATTAGAAGTTATTGAATATTTTTAGCAGCTGCCAATAACTAAACCCATCGCTTCAACATAAAACCAGCAAACAGTTTTGCAGCGCTTGTGGAAGAAAACCCATCTCCACATCCATCTGCTGCACCTAAAGGATCTTCTGACATCATTTAGCTCTGCAGTCAGACACGCTAGGGTTTCCTATTTCTCCAACCTGGTGTCCCAGAGCAAAGGGAACCCCAAGGTGCTGTTTAACACCATCAGCAGCATCGTGTCTCCTGCCTCTCCTACAGCCTCCATCCACTCTGATGCATACTGTGAGAACTTTCTGTCTTTCTTTGTGGACAAAGTCAATAAGGTTAGATCTAGCATCTCTCCTTCAGCCTTATCACTGCCTCTCCCGACTCCAACCAGGCCCATCATCCTAGATAGCTTTGCTCCTGCTTCTTTGCCTGAGTTAACCAAACTAGTTAACTCCATGAAGACCTCTGCATGCCCCCTCCACATCGTACCCTCATCTTTGTAAAACTCTCCCACTGTCCTAATGGGTGTGACCCCGCAAGGAAAGTTGACCACTGAGCAGGGTTGATGGTTTATCCCTTGGGTCCACGTGGCAAGGGTGAGAAGTGAGCACCACCTCACCCCTGCCATGTGGACCTCAAGGGATAAACCATCAATCCTGCTCATGTAACGGGCGGAACTTAAGAACCCTTGAGGACACCAAGACACAGTAAGACACTAAAAGTCTTTATAAGCCAGGAGCTAAGACGCGGCGCTACCCATAAAGGGCGAGGCTAGAGACAGAGTCGGTGAACAGGCGAGGGTCGTGGAGGCAGGCAGAGTTCTTGGCAAGGGTCAGGCGTGGAAAACAGATCAGGAGGTTATGATCAGGCAGGATGAAAAAGGCTGGAAGATTTACTGGCGTGAGCATTCAATAATCTGGCACTGAATGGTTGGATGGCTGGTTCTTAAGTAGCAGGGGAAGCAGGTGTGTGTGATGAGCTGAGGAGTCAGGAGCAGGTGAAGTGGATGAAGCTGATGAGATGCAGGCTGGGGTTGCAGTGGAAACAGGGTTTGGCTGGGGCTTGATGAGAGGACCAGGTGTGAAGCATGAAGGCTGATGAGATGAATTATGGTGCATGGAGGTCAGGGCATGGCAGGATCATGACAGCTCAATGGCCAACTTTGCTCGCGGGGTCACCCATAAAGACAGTGGGAGGGTTAAAAGTGCTTTCCAGTCCATCGGTCCCAGCGTGCTCTCTATAATTAATGCTTCTCTGGTCTCTGGTCAGGTCCCTGCTTACTTTAAGAACGCTGTAATCCACCCGCTTCTTATAAAACCGAGTCTCGACCCCTCTCTCCATAGCAGCTTCAGACCCATCTCTAAACTTCCGTTCATCTCCAAGATCTTGGAAAAGGTTGTGGCTAAACAACTCACAGCTGCTCTTGATCAACATAACATCTATGATAGCTTCTAGTCAGGTTTTCGTAGAGCTCATTCTACTGAAACAGCTCTTCTTAGGGTCTCTAATGACCTTCTGACTCACAGTGATCCAGGGGACTGTTCTGTTCTGGTCCTGCTGGACCTGACTGCAGCCTTTGACACTGTTGACCATCACCTGCTACTGGAGAGGCTGAGAGACTGTGTAGGCCTATCAGGATCTGCTCTGGAGTGGTTCTCCTCTTATCTTTCTGAGCGCTCCTTTTCTGTGGCCGTCTCCAAGTTTAGGTCCTCCACCACCTCTCTTACCCATGGTGTCCCACAAGGTTCTGTGCCGGGGCCTCTGCTCTTCCTCCTCTATCCGCTTCCTCTTCAGCACATCCTGAGCTCCTTCAAAGGAATCTCCTACCATCTTTATGCAGATGACATCCAACTGTACATCTCCTTTGAGCCCCATGAGATGTCTAAGCTGTAGCTGTTACACACCTGCTTAGACTCTATCAAAGCCTGGATGGCTGGGAGCTTTCTACAGCTGAATGAAGATAAGACTGAGATCCTCATCTGTGCCCCAGACAAGCTGGTTCCCAAAGTCAGAGACTCTCTTGGCCAGCTTGCTTCCCACACCAAACCTTCTGTCAGGAATCTTGGCATGACCTTTGACCCAGCTCTCACCCTGGATTCTCATGTCAGTTCTCTTGTTGGCTCTTCCTTCTTCCATCTCAGGAACATTGCTAAGCTGATAATAATAATAATAATAATAATAATAATAATAATAATAATAATAATAATAATAATAATAATACTAATAACAATAATAGGGCTGCGCGGTGGCGCAGTGGTTAGAGCTGTTGCCTTGCAGCAAGAAGGTCCTGGGATCTTTCTGCATGGAGTTTGCATGTTCTCCCTGTGCATGCGTGGGTTCTCTCCGGGTACCCCGGCTTCCTCCCACAGTCCAAAAACATGACTGTTAGGTTGATTGGTCTGTCTAAATTGTCCTTAGGTGTGAGTGTGTGTGTGTGTGACTGTTTGTCCTGTGTGTCTCTGTGTTGCCCTGCGATGGACTGGCTCTCTGTCCAGGGTGTACCCCGCCTGATTGCCCGCTGACCTCTGGAGATAGGCACCTTCTTCACCACTCTCTCCTTATTCTGATCTTTCTATCATTTCCAACAATAACCAGTAATAGTGTCTTGGACAAGTAACATTGATTTGTTTACTGATATGGAAATAGTGATGCGTTTGATTGTTATTGGAAAAAGTGGTAATTTTTAGATGCATCACTGCACATAAGCCACTGCTCTATTATATTAGAGCAGACACTATACACCAAAAATATTAAAACATGTACAGAACTTAAATGGATAGAAAAACAAATGAAATTAAAAAATGAGATGTTTAAAATGAATCTCTTGTTATCCTGAAAAAATAAAGAATAAAAGTTCTCTTTGGATGTGGGGCTTAAAGGGTCAAAGGGTCATACTCGATGATTAAAGAAAAATCATTATTAGTAACGTTAACAGTTTAATGGATGCAATAATGACCATAGCTGGTTAAGACGCTGCTCCTGTGTCCTCTCACCTGTAGGCGAGGTTTTTTATCGGTTTTACTGAGAGTGTTTTTTTATTTTTATTACTGAATCTAAATAGGATTTATAAATTTTAGTACAGCTTGCTGTTCACCTTTCAGTGTTTCAGTCTTTGTTTAATTAGGAACTATTTCAGAACCATTTAGCTCAAGGCCCGTTTCCTCTATCAGAACCTCCCGGTAATTCTACCAGACCTTCCTGCATGTGCGTTTCTCCATTTCCAGCCTGAAAGGACCACTTTCTGGGTCATTTCAGAGACCAACCAAGTACCTGAACTTGGGTATGTGCTTGGAAATGTTCTGGTAGAGTTAGGGGGCGAAAATCATAGTTTCTAAACTCCCAACGCCAAAACAAGAATCCCCCCTCAATGGTGTAACTCATAGCGCTTTGTGGTCTCCTGCAGAGCGCTGTAAAACACATTTTAAATGACAAACCTTCAAAACCTCAATAACCAATACAGTTTCACAGACAGTTAGGGTCAAAGGTTAAGGAAAGAGGTAAAGCGATCTTGGGTCTGTGCTTAACATCCCCCCTCCCCCAGCAGGTTCTCATTATAAGTGTGTGTGAAAATGAGACACGGCTGGTCACACACCCTGGTGCATCTGTGGCCCAGTAACCCTTTGCTCTCGGGCTTTTCCCTGAAAAATGCCCCTCCCACTTCTCCTCTTTCACTGAGAATCTCCTGCAAGATTTTTGATCAAATAAAATCCCAGAATCTGAGGAAAAGTCAGCCCTAATGATTATTGGTCGTTTATTGGAG